AGAAATCATAAATGCGGAAAAGAATTGCGCATACGAACGATATCAATCGTTAGCAGCACATGAAGAAACCGCTACTTCAAGTGCACAACTTCAAAAAGCGAGTGACATTTTCACTACTACCATTCTGAAGAGAGCTACACGACGGGGTGACCAAATTTATGTCACTGTTATGGAATCCTCAGAAATAGCAGAATTCAACAATTTCATGCTGAAAAAACCTGTAGAAACCGCTGCCCGTCATGAGTTTACACTCCGAGAAGCACGATTTGGTGGAAGTTTGGAGCTGAGTACTAGAAGGACAACCGAAAGTACTATGACGGTTTCCAGCGCCTTGCAACGAAGTTCACATAGTTTCGATATTACTGTAAGACGGGTAATTGCAAATCGCGGTGAATCGGTACGAGTCACATGTTCAGCTACTGAGGAGAATCACTTCTTTGTTAGCCTGGAACTCCAGTCTATGAAACTTGCTCGTTACGAATCGCTGTTGATCTGCAAAGCGCCAAATCGAGAAACTCCACAGCAGATGTACACGTCTGAATCCAGTGAATTGGTGCAAGTGTCAAATGTTTCAATGCAGAAAACATTTGCTTACGAATCATCGCACATTGTTTGGGCGGAAAAACGACGATTCGAGATTTTGCCACTGCTATGCAACGCTTCACGTGAAACCTACGCTGAGCTTTACAACTGCCTCGAATCCAGACTGCCTCTCAAACAGCACGCTGGAACAACAATAATATTCCGTGAAATACGCCGCGGAGATCACGTTAGAATGAAACTGATGGCAACTGAAGAAACTATATTCAACGCTGAAGTATCATTCGAGAAGCAAAGTTACGAAGCAGTGAGAACACACACTGAACAGGAAATAAGCACGGAGGTACCACAATTGCTGGAAACCCTGGAAAGCTTGGAAACAGCGATAGAAGTCCGGGAAACGGAGGTGCGGAGGCGACTGAGTGAGGTGCATGTAGAATCCGCCCTGGAAATAGCTGCTAGGGAGTGTTCACCCATTTCTTTACAAACAGATTCCGCTGAACAAACCTTGATTCGGCATGATGCTGAGCTTCACGTTGACGTGCAACGTACGGTTGGTATGGCAGAAATCGAGAAATCGGCCATCGCTGTGGAACGCGAAAAGCTGCTGTGTGCGGGAGTCGATGTGACGCTGCGACATGAAGAGGAGGAATATGAGGAGCAAAGGGAAGAAAAATCTGAGAAACGGTTGGTACTTTTTCACTGTTGTAAATTTGTTAACTTAAAAATGGAATTTCAAATCCATGGAGTTTAGACTTCTACACGTACCTAGTTCAGCTTGCCGCAAGCACCCTCCAAAAGAGGCAGTCATCAGCAGTTTTGCCAACACATGGTTGTTTTTGAGACTTGTTACCCTCAGGTTGTTTCTCAAGTGTCTTGGCTTGTCATAAATAATGAATAGGAAAGGGTTCTTGGCTGATTTTGGAAAATTTATATGGCAACTTTAAGTGGTTAGCTTATACGATAGGCCGAAATAGCGAAACCAAAGAACGGCCCAATTTTTTACGTTTTGTTTATAGCATGATCCTTGCTCTGAAAGAGCATGAAGGCGGTCAAAAATAGTTAATTCTTGTTCTCCTGACACGATAGATTCAAAATCACTAGATGTTCTAATCCTACAAAGCTTCGCGTATCAGTGAGAAATAGTACGGAGTGACTGGACAAAACTACATCTAGAAAATAAAATACATAATGAGTAGACAAAATTTTGTTCATCATTTTTTGATTTCTTGAAAAAAGTTTTGTCTTATGTCGTGAATTGCAAATCTAAGTAAATACGTTAATCCTGGCAAATCTTTGATTTTAGGGTAAGCTTTGCGGAGATAGTGACAGAGAAGACCGTATCAATGGACATGAGTATGACAGTGGAAAGGAGAGCACCGTCGATAATCAAGAAACCGATGAAAAAAGAACAGAGAGGACGCAGAAGTGTATTGCGGCAAAATGAAGCGCCTAACTTGTATGTATTCTTTCCATCCCAGTGACGTCACTAACATGAGATCCTCACATCGACTGTCCGGAAGGAGACTTGACACCCGCATAGACAGATTATGCTGTAGCCATCATATGTTGGAATGATCCTTAATCCCTCTACAGCTCACTTTGGTTTTAAGACCTCGCTCTGGCGCGTTACCCTTCTGCCTCAGTCATCGTATAAAGTATATGGCCCACATAAATTCCCATTTAAACGCCAGCCAATGTAATGTATAGTACCTTATTTCTCGCAAGAGGTTATAAACTCTTTAGGTGAAGGTAATAACCAACAATAAACTGTTGAAATAAGACAAAATACGAGAGAATCAATGTACATGAAAAACAATCGATGTAACACAGGCAGTCCAGTGTCGTCATCATCTTGTCCCACACCCCCAACATCGCAGTACACATATAAGCGGATCCAGGGTAGTCTGCTGGGGGCAAGATGGGGGGGGGGGGGGGGGGGGGG